GCTATCGCGTCCCGTGTGTCGGGTTTCACCCTGGCTGCGATGACAGCCGTTAATCGCTGTAGTTTGCCGCTGCCCGTGTGTCGAGCCCTTAAGTGATTAAAATAATCTAAATAAACATCAGATTCTTCTCTACAGTCTGTTGTTAGCTGTTGTAGCAACGCTCTGTTTACGTGCAGACATTTCCCCTTTGACATCACTTCCTGTTACTTCACATGCAAATATCTCAACAACTGTTTATCTCAGCGGCATGAAATCTTTTTTTACAATATGTTATCAGTGTTAATCTTTCAAAAATACATTCATATTTGTTACAAAATTTGATGTCACTGGCACTTTAAAGCAGTGACTCTTCAAATAAACTTTTATTTAGCTGCAGTTTTGTGCTGAAGGTTTGTCTCGTCTTTTTGTTGTTGGCAGAGAAGAAACACCGCCCTCCGCCACCAAGTGGTAAGTTTAACAGTTCTTCTTTAGTTGTTTGATCATGTCCAACAATAAATTCAAGGCTTTTCTCTTTTCACGTCACTGCAGACAGAGGGTCCCTGCCTCCGCTTCCACCTGAAAAAGGTTTAGGTCTCCTTCATCTCATCATGTTGTTCATCGACTCCCCCGATTCGTTATTATTTTGAAAACCAATCTGAACGTACTTTGTGTCTCTTCAACCAGCATCACCCAGCAGCCCCGGCACTTTTCACATGGCCACCGTGGACATCCAAAACCCAGACATCCAGTCGTCCCGCTACCGGTCCATGCCTTCGCCTGCCGTTTCCTCAGCTGCCTCCAGCAAAGAAAAGAAGAGCAAGAAGAGCAAAAAAAAGGGCCCCAAGTTCTCCAAAGCAGATATAGGAGCACCTTGTGGATTTAAGTAAGGACTTGAGTCACTAAAACTGTTTCTTAATGTCAGGCAGTGGAGATATKTTACTATTTACCAGCTGACTTTGACATTCTGCTCTTCTTTACTACAGGCACGTATCGCATGTAGGATGGGACCCCAACAACCTGGACCCTGACTTGCACAAACTGCTGTCCCAAGCAGGYGTGGCTGAATCGGACCTCAGGGATGAAGAGACCTCTCAGATGATCTATAACGCCATAGAGGCTCATGGAGGCATGGAGGCGGTCAGACGGGAGGCCAAACAAGGTTGGTGAAACTTCTCGTTTCCTTCTTTTTGCTCCCTACAGGCTGAAGCTAACTGTGCTTCTTCTTGGCGCTGTGCCACAGTTGGCGGGCCCCCACCTCCTCCACCTGGTAGACATGGGCCGCTGCCTCCTGTGCCGGGCTCCAGTCCCTCCGCTCCAACCCCTCCGCCTCCACGGAGYCGCTCGGGCCCCCTGCCTCCCATCCCGGGCCAAAACCAACGAAGCGCCCCGCCTCCCCAGCCGCCTCCGTCCCGCGGAGGTTTGCCTCCTCCTCCTCCTCCTTCAACGGGCCGAGCCGGCGTGCCTCCTCCTCCGCCACCGTCCCACTCTGCACCTCCTCCGATGGCGCCGCCCTCAAGGACCCCGATGGCCTCCAGCATGCCTCCTCCCCCGCCACCATCAGGCCAGCATCGCACCATGGGCGTCCCTCCGCCCCCCCTTCCATCCGCACCCAGCAGAGGAGGTGGTGGAGGAGGAGGGGGGCCGCCGCCCCCACCTCCCCCTCCTCCCCCTCCACCTGCTCAAACTTCTATACCCTCAGATTTCCCACCTCCTCCTTCCCTGTCCCGTGGTCCCCCACCACCACAGCCTCCATCCGGAGGAGGAGGAGGAGGAGGAGACAGCAGGGGGGCTCTGCTCGATCAGATCCGACTCGGGAAGAGTCTCAGAAAAGTAAATACTTAACTCGTCCCAAATATTCAGAATATGGTTCCATGTCTGATATTTATCTGTTAATGCTGTCCTGCTGTGTTCCAGGTAACAGAGAGCGCTGAACCTCTTCCATCTCCAACAACAGAAGGAGGAGAAGGCATCGTGGGCGCTCTCATGATGGTCATGCAGAAGAGGAGTAAAGTCATCCATTCCTCTGGTGAGCATAAAAAAAGGTTTCATAATTGYGTTATTTTACACGACAGAGCAGCAAAGTCCCACACGTCTGTTTGTGTTCGTCCCTTCAGGTGAAAGTGAAGATGACGGTGGAGATGAAGATGACGACGACGATGAATGGGATGACTGATGAGGCAGTTGTGGTTATTCTGAAGTTTGAAACTGTTACACCCGGCAGTGTTTTGTAAAAGGGGCGGACTTTGCAGACTGGGGTACAACTTGTATTTATGGGAAACTGTGACGATTTTAGACAAATAAAAGAATAAAGAGGTTGAAAAACAAGAGTGCAACTTGTTTTGCAGATAATTCTGTAATCTAAAATTTTGCATAACAATTAACTTTAGCAATGATGAAAGATGCCTTTGGGCAGTAAATGTCTCTTTCAGTTGTAGGCCACCAGATGGAACGTCACAAAGCTCCCTTGCATACCTAAGATTGTACCTGAAATTGTGAAAACAACAGGGTCGCAAATGCGACCTGACTTCTTAAAAACAAASAAAAATCCAGCCTCACTGGTGTGACTGGATCGTCGTTCTGTGAGAGGAGGGCAGCGGGACCCTGATGTATAAGGATTTAACAGACACTGATTTCAACAAATTAGACAAACTCCAGAGCCGTTTTATCCAATTAGAGCAGAGCCGGGCGGGACTTTCAGTGAGAGCAGTTTTCAGCAGAGACAGCTGCAGTGATCAGTCCTCCTGACATCTCCTGCTGCACTTTGCTCCTGAACTACCAGAGACTTTGCCCTCTAAAACCTAACTTTATATTAAATATATGTTCAGAGTGTTATCAAACAGATCTGTCAGATTTTGCATGAGTGACTAAACTCTCCTCCTGAGAGACAGGAAGGTGCCTCAGCGTGTACAGGCTGAGTGTTTCTGTGATATTCACTGTTCAAGTCCTTCTAATCCATATTACCTCTAACAGAAGAACATTTGCCCCAAATCAAAGCAAAGATGAGTCTGTTTAACGTCACTCCCCTCAATCCAAAAAAAATAAAAACTTGCCATGTTCTCTAGGTGAATGAGTTTTAACTGTTATTTTAATTCAGTGGTGGAGCTAGGATTTTTCTGAGTAAGGGGYCATCAAGGGGCCACAGTATTCATAGAGGTGCCAAGTCTTTGTTCAACATCCTTTCACACAAATTCCCAGGGTATACATTTTACACTTCAAACACTTGTAATGTAATTTATTTTTTTTTAAAAAGGTACCACTTTACAATAAGATCCCCCTTATAGATGGCTTTTAAAGAGTTTATAGATAGGTTATTAATTAATCTGTAAACACTTTAAAAATGATTAATACATGTTCATTATGCAATAATTAAGGACGAGAAAGAGACAACATTGTCCAGTTTCGTTTATTAATGATTTATGAAGTGCAAACTTTACAGATGAATTAATAACCTATCTATAAACTCTTTATAGGCCATCTATAAGGGGAGCTTGATTGTATAGTGGTACCAAAAATCTGGCAGAGTAAATTCTCCTCACCAGTTTTTCATACATTTTACTGAACATAGATAAAATATTCTCAAACACACAACATGTGAGAAAATCCAGCCGTCGTTTCTCAGTTGAAAGACTTTTTTGCAGGATTGTTCACATTTTAAGAAGAGAAGAATTCTGTCATCTTGATTCATTCTGGATTTTATTATTTGACTCATTAGCACCTTTAGTGTTTGAACATGGAACTGCATCCACCATCATCACTCCCAGGTAAAGGACAGATGAGTGACAGGACAGGTGCACTTCAGGGGGCAATCAGATTCAGCTGGGGCCAATGCCCCTGTGGCCCCGCCCCCAGAACAGCCCCTGTTTTAATTTATCAGAAAGATCCACAAATTTCGTTCTTCACAATTTTATGATAACAAGGTTCTTGATATGCAAAACATGTTTGTATTTAGAATCATAGTGTGACACAACTGCTCTGGGATAAATATAATTCAATAAATGATCAAATATGAAGAATAAATAATTTTAAATGATTACATGAGCTGAAACCATCTAAATATATTTTTTGAATGAAACCAGCCAAACAAACAAAACATTTGTTCTGTGCAAAAGACAGATATTTGCTGCTTGGTCTGGAGAGTGTGGAAAGCTGGTTTAAACAAGGCCAAAGAWCTAGAAGGCCAAACTACAGGAGCATCTCAGGGTCATGTGTAATCTAACAGACRTTTAAACTTGAAATGTTCAGTTTGAGATGACATATGACCATGGGAGAGCCYATTGGCCACTTACGTAGTTTACAAAATGCAGAGTAAAAATAAATAAATAAATAAAATCTCTGATTTGCCATGATGTCCCCAGACATTTCCAGCTGATAGAAGGCGTCATAAAACAGAACATGATAATAATAAATGCCCGGACACCCCTCTAGACAAATGTGTTAAATGACTTAAGGAAAGTATGAGCACCAAGCAACAACCCCAGGTTCTCCCCTGAGAACCAGACCAAAAATTTTATGTGCAACCCTGCATATATAGTATAGTATAGTATAGTATAGTATAGTATAGTATAGTATAGTATAGTATAGTATAGTATAACTATAACATAATAAAACTATACATGAGTATAGTATAATATTTATATTAAAAATAATCTGGTCTTTACCAGGTTTTWAAATAGTTTAACTCAAGCACAACAGATTCCAMCATCTCHAYATTTACTAATCAACAAAATAAAACAGGAATTAAGTGGGCAAGTAGCAGCTTGGTGCTGATCAAACCATCTCTATAAAAGCAATTTTGTTAAGTTTGCTGGACTGGAGTGCACAAGTGGGGGGCGGATATTAGCTACATCATGGGCACTGTTTTCCATTTAAACACAGCCTTGTAATGATGGGGGTTTAGGTTTAGGGTAAAGGTTAGGGGTAGGATATACAAATGACTGGAAAATTAATGAAAGTCCATGCAAAGTCCCCAYAAGGATAGAAAAACCAATGTGTTTAAGTGTTTGTGTTAATACAATGCCAAGAAGGGAAGACCCTGACAACATCCTTTAGAAAAGCAGTTRTTGCTGCCTGTCAGTTTGGGAAGGGCTGAAGGTCATTTCAGTAAAATCCATCAGTCTACAGAGAGAAAGATCTAACAAAAGAGGAGAACATTGAAGACAACTGCCAATCAGATGCAATCAGACTGTAATGCTCAGAGAAATGACCATCCATCCRTTATCTTCCATTTATTTCGAGTCAGGTCGTGGGGGTTGCTGCTAGAGTGGAGACCCTTTCCCCAGCCACCTCCTCCAGCTCTTCCCAGGCCAGACGAGACGTCTTTCTATCGTGTCCTTGGTCTCAAGGGGTCTCCTCCCTGTCGGAGCCACTCCCTAGGGGGSTGTCCAAGAGGCATCCTTAACATCTCACAAGGATGTCTTCAAGAAATGTCAAAAAAAATAAAATCAATGTGTCATGCTCAGAAGAATCATCTAAGAGACAATGCTTTGCAGTGAACCTGAAGAGCCGAGTCCCATTAGGAAGAACGAGCTCTCCAGTTTGTTTTTTTCTCTCTCAGGCCTTATGTTCAATCACATGCCAGGATATAGGAAATGACTGGGCAAACTTAGWCCTCGAAGGCCATTGTCCTGCATGTTTCACCTGTTTCTCTGCTCCACACACACCTGATTTGAATAAATGGGACATTAACTGGCTTCTGGAGAATTTCGAAAGATAATTCAATCACTGAATCAAGTGTGTTGGAGCAGAGAAACCAGTTAAACATGTAAGATAGCAGCCCAGCATATTCCACCCATCCATCCATCCATCCATCCATCCATCCCAGGGTCACGGGTGGTGCCCATATCCAGCAGCCACTGTGTGAGGGGAAGGGTACATCCTGGACAGGTCATAAGTCCACCCCAGGACCACAAAAAGACAAAACCATTCACTCTTCCACTCACACCTAATACAATTATTYATTTTATATCAAGATGCTGAGGCAAGGCAACGTACAACAGTGGCCCAAAAACAATGTGAGTCTGATTTTTTTACTGCAATAACTGCTTTGCATTTGTTTAATTTTAACATGATGGAATCTCCTTGGTGTTTTTGTACACTTARGGTTATGATTTTAAAACAAGTTATTGTAAATGAGAAATGACTCTATTGACTTACCTGTTAAAATAAAGTTTCTTAGAATCCAAAAACCAGAATATTTTTAATGACGATATTTAAACCCCTAGAGTGAAAAGGAGGTCTTTCTTTTCCTTTSAGTGGATTCTGCTCCTAATGTACAAAACACCATTTTTAAACATTTCTAAATACACAAGGCTAGGATGGAACATCAACAAACAATGAGCCAGATTCATTCCCATTTTTATAGCATATGATACATAAAAAAAACTTTTCTTATCCAATTTTTTTTCATACATCTGTGCAAAGATCTCACGTTCCCTCAAAATGCCACCACCGACAAAGTGCATCACTSGAAGAACACTGTACGCTACACACATCAATACTCACAGACTGCAGGTCACTAAAGCACGGGACAGTAAGGAGCTCATTATACATCAACATCCAATGGAATTAGCTTAGCAGAATACAATACACTCTATCGACAGCAGAACACAACGAATCTGAAACAGGGCAATCGTGAAATGTACATCTCGCAACAAACAACAATAGGCATGCAAAATATGCATTTACAATATATCATCATAGTAGCATACAATACAAAGGGTAATCTAAACAACATATGACCATTATTATTATATTCACAATCAATATATTACATTTCTSTTTTAGATAAAAGAAAACATACCTGTGTAACTGTAGGAGGCAGATCTATCACACGGCAGTCKGACTTGTTTTCTTACAAAAACTCAAAGTTTGTGTGAAATGTGATGCACTGTCTCACCGAGCAGCCTGTTTTAAACCATAGTAACATTATTTTCATATTAAAGCTGTCTTTTATAACTCAAAATGTATGGGATGATTTTGAAAGTGGTCATCAGTAGTGTAAACTGTTTCATAAGGATTTACCGAGCCAACAACTGGGAAAAACCACCAACATTTTAACAACAGAACGACAGCGTCACCTGCCTAATCAACGGAAGTGACACCCAAACTCGTGTCAAACTAAAAGTCCAGAATAAAGTTCAACATGGGTTGGTCCTGTCCTCCTAACCAAGGCCTTGGTCCTGGCTTTCTGTGTGCCTGCGGCTGGTCCGCTTCCTCTGCTGCTGCTGCTGTTTGGGGTTGATCTGTTCCCAGTAGGACTGGCAGTACTGGTTAATCAGTCTGATCTCAGGTGGGAAGGGCGTGGAAGTGAGGGGCGACTGCGGGTGAGGCTCTGCCTGGCGACTTTTCGGCACCTCGTCCTCGTCTTGAGCGGTGAGGGCTAAAACAATGTCCCKGTTGAGGATGCGCAGCGCCACGCGGGCCACTGTGTGTTTGAAGTTGTTTTCAGTGGCGAGGCAGTGGTAGAGCCCTGCGTCTGATTGGTTGAGGGATTTCAGGAGGATGCCGTGGTTGGTCTTCAGGACTCCTCCAGCACGATTCAGCTGCAGGTAAAAAAAAAAAAAAAGTCAGGCCATCAGAGAGGGAACAGCAGCTTTAAATGTGTGTTTTATCAAAATTAGTATGAGCAGTGGTAAATAGTGTTGTAGTCAAGACCACCTAACCCAAGACCAAGTCAAGACCAAGACCACAGTGTCTCGAGTCCAAGACAAGACCAAGACTTTCAGGGTTTGGACCAAGTCGAGACCAAGA